ACTAGGGTTTGGGGGACAAGGTGTCCTAAACAAGCTGAGAACTAGAAAATCAGGACAAGAATAAAAACTCTCAGGTGTGAGGCTTCCTCAGGTGCAATCTCTGGAGCCTGGAAGCAGAGAACTAGTGGCAGTGATGGGAAAACTCTGCCAACGACCAGGCAACTGCATTGTATATTTTCTTAGCAAAGGAGACAATTAGGAAAATGCTCAGAGTTTTTGCTTAACTTCTATAATTTTATGCACTGCAGGGTGCTGACTAGGCAAGTCGAAGCTCATTTTGATCCTGCCTAAATTAGATAACAAGACCAAATTTAAATAATGACCAACACTTTTTAAGGCTTATTATGTGCCAGGTGTGTGCTAAGAATTGTACATGAATTATTTTATTTAACTTTTCCTGACAAACCAACAGCATAGGTATGATACAATTTTGCAGGTGTGAAAGCTGAGCTTTAGGTAGGCTGAGTCACTTTTCTAAAGTTATAGCTGTACAACACAAGCCATGGCATTCTGACTCCAGAACCCATGGGCCTAACCACTAGAGAAGTTAAAGGCCTCTTGAAGCTCACACTAATAATTTAATACAACCCCAAATCTGTGCCTGGGTTCCCTTTAGCTGTTCCTGTCTTCTCACTTAACAACTCTAACACTGCCTCCAGGTCCTGGGCCCTTATTCCTGTGATCCTATGATGCTCTGTGGTTTAGTCTCTCATGGATGTATTTGCCCTTCTACCTAGCAGCCCTGGACACTTGATAAGGCTCCAGCTGCTTCTGGATTCCTTAACTCCTTTGCATTTTTACAATTTTTACCTTACTAATTGCCAACACCATGTACATTTGTGATGGACTAAATGGTGTCCCTCCTGTCCCCCAAGTCACATGTTGAACCCCTAACCCCCAATGTGACTAACTGGATTTGGAAAAAGAATCTTTAGGATCTAATTAAAGTTAACTGAGGTCATAAGGGTGAGCTGATCTGATAGGACTGTGGCCTAAGAAGAAGAGGAAGAGGGATATCTTTGTCAGTTCACCCACAGAAGAGAGGTCTTGGGAGGACAGTGCAAGAAGGCGTCCATATAAAAGCCAGGAAGAGAGAGCACTCACCAGAAAACAAACTACCCAGTGTTGATCTGGGACTTCCAGACTCCAGAACTGTGAGAAACAAACTTCTGTTGTTTAAGCCACCCAGCCTACGGTATTTGTTATGGCAGCCTGAACAGGCTTCATGGGGCATCCTATCATCTTCTTTCACTGCAATGCTTCCAGAAAAAAAAAGTATAAAATGGCTCATTTCTCTACAGTCAACACTATGTAATTGAACGAGCTCTAAATTTGGAAAGACAAGATTGGTTTTCAAGTCATGAAATAAAAAAGAAATGTAGCAAAAACATAAAGGCTTACTATTAATGTCAGATAAAGACAGCAGACCCCTTTCACTGACACTGCTGTTGGCTGCATTTCTGACAGGGTTTGCCAACAGACCCCTGCCTTGTGCTCACAGCCTCACTGTTAACTGTTAGCTGCATGACTTGGCCTTGGATTTACCTAGAACACTGAGGCTCTCTGACTATAGCTGTCTCAACTTCTGTCTCCTCCTTTACGATATGTCAGTTTCTGAATCCATTTCCTCCTTCCTTACAATGTCAGAAGATCTCATCCCTGACTCTGTTCAGAGTAACACCTCTGTCCGGAAACTTGATCTCTTCAGTCATCTTTCGCCTTCTCCAGAAAGATATCAGTTATTACCTTTGGCTTTCTTGTGTCCTCTGTACTCTGTAGTAAATCAGTCCTTGACCTTGAGAACTTCTCCAGACATTCTCCCATCTCTATCTTCCATTCCATAGACAAAATTCCAAAAATCTTCCTAGCCATTTCTTCCACTAATGTACAGAACCTGTGATCCATCCAGATTATGGTTTTAATCCCACATGTCCCCACTTCAGTGCTTTTCTGGAATGGCATGCAGTCCTGTTCTCTACCCCGCAAATTTTCAAGGTTTTCCTAATATGTCACCTTCTCTTTGAAACCCTCCCTTAAGCAATTTCTTCTGAACTCCTAATGAACTTTGTCCTTTTCAGAGAGCTTGTTTGTAGTCACTGTAGTATCATTATTTGTGTGCCCTGAGTAGAGTATAAACTCCATACAGTTCTCGATTTAAGATATCATAATCATTTAACAATGTCTAATAAATACATTAATAATCAAACTGATGTCAAAGAGCAGCATCAACATTTTAATTAAATTAGGACAAACATTGAGGTTAGAATGTTTGGAGAAAGATCAAACTTCCATTTAAATGTGGTTGAAGAGAATCTGGACCTCTATGGATCTATATGAGATAAAAAAAGCTAAAATCTCCATCTCCATTTTTTGTCTTTATTGAAACAAAGTAATAATAACCAATAATAGATTGGCTGGTATGTAAGTGTTCCATAAATGCCAAATCATGAAACAAATGAATGCTTAAAGTAGTTCTTGAATTATATATTAAATAGTGGTCTTTAGAATGTTCATGGAGCAAAAGCAAATAGAGAAATTTGGGTATCTAAGGCAATAACTCTGCGGTTTGGGAAGCATAGAAGACTGTCATTTCAGCCGTAGAATACTTTACTATTTGAATCTTTCTTATGGTCCCTATTCTGAAGGAGTTGACTGAAGTAAAGGATTTTATAGGAGTATGTACATTTCTGGTAGAAGACTCAAGAAGAGGCCAAAGAACCAGTAAATCAATGTGATTTCAACTTAGGGGAAGAAAAACAATTATGATTTTAGATAACAGAAGGTTAATGATTGTTCTTTGGCTCTCCAATATGTATCCTTTCTAGACTTTTAGAAAGAACTGTGGATTATTTTTTCTAGGATAATACATAGTTACAAGGACAACTTAGCCGTCACAGTTTCAGGGCTGTGGGCCAGCCACTGTGCCTATATCCAGGCACTTATGTTCACATTAGCTCATTCAATTACAGAACACACCAAGAGGAGGATAATATTATTCCAATGTTGTGAATAAACCTAGAGTCACTTTACACATCACTCAAGGTTTAACAGATCCAGAATTCAGAGCCAAGGCTTGAACAAAGCTTTCCTGAATCCAAAGCCCATGGCCAAAGTTAACCACATTGGAGAGGAATGGTCTAGTCTCACCACTTCCTCCTGGGAAGATGGTTTCTGTTAATGGACTTTCAGCAGTGTATCTGAGCAAATGCCACTTAGATCTCAACAAATTACCATATTAACCATCATCTAGGAATATATCTGTCAAGTTTAACATTTTCTCAATCTGTACTCCCTCCACTTACCCTAACGTCCAGCTGCTTGCTTAAAATGCTCTGCCAGTCAGGCGTGGGCTACCAAACGTCAGTGCCACATGTTTCTTGCTTCTAGTTATGCCTGCAATCAAAGTGTGTGACTAGAAAAAGGCTAGTTTTGTCCATTATACCTAGTAAACCCTAGTCATGATTTTGCAACATTGCTTGGGAACTACTAAGTAAACCTTTTTATTGTAGAGTTTGGTGTAGAATTTCTAATTCTGGAAGACAACTGATGTATAGAGAAAAGCATAACACTAAAGTGAAGGACATTAACATTGTTCCACCCCTACTCCATGTCAATTGCATTTAAAACACTTTATATTATTTCAGTTTTTCCTCCCAAACTACAACAAAAGGCACAGTCATCTAGATGTCACAATTTTCAGGTGAGGAAGCCAAACCTCAGAGATGGTGAACTTTGCCTGAACACAGTGAGAGGTCCAGGTGGGGCTCGGACCCACTCTGTCTGGCCTCCGCGCCTATACCTGCCCCTTGGGTGGCCCTGACCTCCACACCAGCAAGGCCTGACTGCCAACATGATTAGAACTGTATCCACCAAGTTTTCATTGAGCTCTTTGTGTCCTTGTTTTGTCCTCCTAAAGATGAAAAAAAATACTATCTAGCCCTCAGGGGGTTAAAGAGACAACACAGATCCAAAACACTTAAGACAATACCTGCCACATCGTGGGCACACCTAAATGATGGCTTTACTTTACTTAATTATCGGAGGCAGGAACCGGAAAAGGAACTTCCCAGAGTTTGACATCACTCAGCCTCATTTTCTTTCCATCCCCATGGTTGTCAACAGTATAACCAATCCATTAATGAAATTTGAAGAAACAGGGTTAATTACATCTGTCCTTAATTGTTACTCTTTGAAAACTATTAATCGACATATGGATAGAGTACAGCTGTCCACTTAACCTACATCTCTGGATCCTGTGAAAATGTGGAGGGTCCTGAGGGAATGACTATCCAAATCCACAATATGTATGCGCTTAGGGAACCAGCAAATCAAGGATGCTTGAGATTAGAGAAGGGTTCCAGCTACAGTGAATGTTTGCAGAATTTTATAATCAGAAAATCTAGATAAAAGCTGTTAAAATTTAAGCACTCATTTAACATTTGTTTTTGGATTTAATACTTTAAAATGTTTTTCAATATGGTGGGAGGCTTAGAAAGAAGGCATGTGAAGCTCTCCAGTGCTGAAGGAACTGCACGACCATGGTTCTGGAAAATTGTCCAAAGTTTGTTGACTTACAGACATTCTTAAAAGTTACTAGACACTTTTAAAAAACATAGTATCCAATAATATTTTATAGCATAAAATGCTTTTGTCAACTTACCTGTTCAGAAAATTGTTTTCTTTACTGGTTGCTCTAACATAGCAATCTAAATAATGCTTTGGTTGACAGACAATAGCTGTTGAGTCCATAAATATGCCACTTTTCATAAGTTTACCTAAGTATCTGGTTAGAATCTTTTATTTCACAAGACAGTGGTCCTAGCTTGCTTTTAATGAGATGTGACATGTTTGGCTTCTTGGTAAGATCTTTTACTAAATATTTAGAAAAAAAAAACACATCATCATACAAGGTTTTGGGAAGAACATTTTATTGCTAAGCATATCCTTAAACGAAAATGCAAATATGAAATAAAAGAGAAAAGGAAAAAAGGCAGTAACATCACAACATCATAAAATGAATTCCTTAAGAGTCTGCTCATAAAACAACAGGGATATGATCGAAGCTCACATACAGAATGCACATGTTCCCGTAAAACTGTCCAAATAGAACTTACACTAAAAGGAATATAACAAATGTATTTTTACTCAAATTTTTTAAAAAATGTAAAGAAAGAAAGCAGAAAATCAGTTCACAAGACCTCAAGACTCCAAGAACAGCAATCTTTTAAAGACATCGAGATATAATCAACTCCATTTAGGTCGGGCCATTTAAGTTATCTAAAATCGTGCTTTGACATCTCTTTTATAATCCTGTCTTTTTAAATAACAACAAAAAATTTCAAAACTGTTAACACATTGAAATATCAGGTAATGAGGAATACTCCTTTCCGTACACATTAGTAAAGGCTACCATTGTTTCAATTGCTCTTTTTGCCCATGTCATTAAGATATTGGTTTCAAAGTCAAATATTCATGCAGCTTACAAAGACCAGCAAGAGTAGATTTCTACATCTAAACGCTGATTGATTTTCATCTGTACAAAAGAAATTGTGTATATCTGACCCTCCAGCGGACATATTTCATTTTTTATGTGAATATTTGCCTTGCTTTTCTCTTGCTTCTTGGATAGCTATGGCCACACAACCAATTTATTGTTTTTCTGTACATTGTTTCCTCTTTTCAAACAAGAAAGAAAGACAACTGGAATATAAACCAACCAAACTGAAATACACAAAAAGAAAGGAGAGAACAGTTCTTAAAGCAGTATGTACATAGGTGGCTAAGGAATTATACCAGCAAAAATGTAGTAAAATATGTAAACAAAATCTGAGAAGATTTATTTTTAATTCTCTTTGACACAGTTAACTGTGACAAAACGAAAACTCACACTTGCTTCACATTTTAAGGTTTACTTTTTTGTTGTTTTGTCATTATTTTCTTTTAAAACAACATTCTCATTCCACTTCAAGACTTTAACAGGTTTCCTGTTTCAGTCACCCCATCAAACATACCATGATAAATATATCTGTATATATATTTATTTATATATATTATACTATTAAATTCCTTTTTGTGTGTGTGTGTGTCACAGCAGCTTTATTCATTTATTATTTATTTAGTTAGTTTTAGAAAAGATGGGTGAAGGGAGACATGAGCAAATGGAAGGACAAAGTTATCCGTGTCAGGCTAGAAAAGTAAACCAGGATGAAGAACATGGTCGTGTTGGGGGCGGGGAAGAACTATGCATTTTGCACTCTCTTCATGCCGAGATTGGCTTGTGTGACCTTTTGTGGGTTCCGTCACAAGGTGAACTCCCCTATTGTCTGTTTTGATTAGTTAACAGACTTTTGGTATTGTCTTTTCTTCTACATTTGCATGCATTTCAATCAGTCACAGATCCAGCCCACCCCCCCTGCTTCTCCCTTTCATTAGGAAAGGCTCTGTTTTTCGCTTGTGGGGCTTTCTCCTTTAACCACAATTTGGCTGGGCTAATGGACAGGAACAATATTGTGGAGTAAACCCAATAGCTCTGATAAAACCAGCCCTAACCCGGTCTGTTCAGGGTTTGGGTAGCAAATTCTGGAATTCGATCCTGAGGGACCAGCTTTTCAAATCAATATTCTCATCCATCACAGGATTTTGCTATGTGTTCAGCAAAGCATCATATAGGAAACAAACAACAGATTCTAAAAACACCACAACCTGATATGTAGAGTGAACACCATGGTAGCTTTTTGAGTTCATATGGCAATAGTCTCTCTCACTTTAGTTTTCTGAGTTTTTTTTCTTCTTTTTAATATATGTCCAGTCATTCTCAAAAAATAAACAAAAACCCAAAAGCCATTTTTTTTCCCCTCAGATCTTGAAAAGTTACATACACTGGCCAGAACCAGATAAGGGTGTTTTTTTGTTTGTTTTTGTTTTTAACTTTTTTCTTTTCTTTTCTTTTTTTTGTTTTTTACATAATTAAAGGGAAAAAAAACATTGTTACAGTCAAGCTTCACAAACATTGTTACAGACTCACTTGGAGTTATGGAACAAGTAAGCCGTGAAGTCTTCTACCTTCGGTGAAAGGTCCTCAAGAGAAGGCAGCCCCCAAGCCCGCGGATGCGGGGAGCTGCCTGTTGCCCCGGAGCGCAAAGTGTGTGCTTTATGATACAGCAGGGCAGAAAGAACTTGTCTCCGGGCGATGACCGAATCTGAGCAGCCACGGCTGAACTGTGGACAGGTAGGTACATCTCGGTGTGTGTCCTTTTGGGAACGGTTTTCCCCACCGTAGCCATGGCACAGACCCCATCTCATCGTTAGCACAGTTCTGACATCCGCGAAATCTCCTTTTCCAAAAATGCGTATGCTGATATAGAAATAATTCTGTGTTGTCACTTCAGGTATTGTTAATGGTGTCCTTTTTTTTTTTTTTTTTTTTTACACATAATACTCCTTGTCCTTGTTTTTCTGTTTCTTGTGGCCGCTCTTGGAGCTCTGCTGCTTGTCCTTGAGGAGTGTGCCGTTGCTCTGGGCCGAGTTGCTGATGTAGTTCCGCGTCTCGTCCACTTGATAGGACCCCTCGTCCCTGTTCCTGTACTTGTACATGGCGTACAGGAGGATCAAGATGCAGAGGGCGGCAGCAGCCACAATGCCGACGACCATCCCTGTTGTACTGCTCGACTCCCGGATCACCTCTGAGGCCCCCGGAACCCGTCTGACTCCCGGCTCCGTGGGGTTTGCTGTGGGCACATTACGGAACATGGGGGAAGTAATTAGTGGGTTCTTCAGTTTGGTGCTGTCTAGCTCATAGGCAGTGGGCAACGGAAGCAAGACTAGATCAGGCTGGGGTTTGAGATCACGGTTATTCATTTTGCCAGCTGGCAATTTGGGCACCATCCCAGACGAGGAGGAAGCTGTGAAGCGGATCAGCTCAGGGGACAAAGATGTGGTAGTAGTCCTACTAGTTTCGGAGACTTTGTTAGGTCTAAAGTCCTTGGATTCCCACTTGGGCGCATGTGCTTTGTAGCCACCTTCGAAGATTGAAGTGGAAAGACTCTTATCTGTTACCAAGGAGAAGGTGGTGTAAAAATCTTCATCATCAGTAGGGGGCAGGTTAGAGTCAAAGGTTTCCCCTGAGCCATACCCAGATATCACCAAGCCATCATCATCACAACCTTCGCTGCCTTGGTCCGACAAGCAAGGTAACCCCGCCTCAGAGGTCATGGACAGGGAATCTTTGGTGGTCTCAATAATGGTGAGGAGGGGGCGGAAGGTAGGGGGGAGCGTAATGGAAGGTGCACGAGTAGCAATAGGAAGGGTAGCTAAAGGGTCTTCTACAAGAAGAGGAATAACTAATTCACCTCCTGGGATTGAAAAGAAAAAGAAACACAGAATTAGCATTTTCATAGATAAACACAATTCAGTTACTTGCAATGAACGGAATTCATAGGTCACACCCCTCCGAAATTACAACACAGTAATCTGAATCCACGTGGATCCTTTCTGGTGGTAGCCAAAATATTCTGCGCTGATTTAGAGCCCATCATATGCCTCTGCCAGCAAAACCTAAAGTCTACAGACTGGGGCGGGGGTGCAGATTTAGAGATACTCTCAAGTAATTATTTAGACAGAGTTCAAACAGGTTCGTTTCCAGGATTCACTGGCAGGATGATGACGTTCAGTTGTACTGTTGCCAATACTGACTGGCTATCAGAATTGTGTGTGTACATGTGTGTCTGTGTGCGTACATGCAGGCACGCATGCAATTAATTTGTGAACCGTAACGTTTCTTAATTGCCTTTCAGGGTTTCTCATGAGGATGAGAACGACACATTCTCCGTGTCACTGAGACCAAGATCAAGGAATATAAAAGATCCGCTTTTAACATTTTAAGATCCTACCTTTTATTTCACATGATTTATCAAGTGTGGTCTTCATTTACTATATGCTAAGTGAGGTTTGCTCATATAACAAATCCATTTTGACTACGCTTTTCAAGAAATTCCCTACTATTAAATGGCAACTTCTTGCACTGGTCCAATACTAGGCTAATGTATTGCTTTCGTGCTATGTGCAAAACATTCTGAGCTGGGTGCTAGATTTTAAAAACACCTCGCCCAAACAGCTGTGACTTACTGCAAACTTACTTATAGATTCAGAAATGTAGGCATAGCAAAATGAGTGCTGGAAAACAGTGCTTCTTAACTAGAATGGCAAAAATAGGTCAGTTTACCCACAGACCCTACTCGCTGCCTTTATAAACATGTTGACTAGCGCAGGAAACAAAGCTCAGATAGTTCACTAAGTCACAGTGCCTTGCAGCTCATGGGCACCTGCCTGTAGAACCAGGCTTATTATTTGTATATGTGAGAGAGTTAGTTCATCAAGGTTTCTGTTGTTATCTTCCAAACAGAGGAAGAATCTCAAGAAGCCACCATTCATATCTCATTGACTATTGTCAAAATATTTATTCCAACTACTGTTTTTAACAATCCTTTAGCAAGGATGGTGTGATGTTCCCTTGTCCCAGTTAGACAGTCAGTTGAGATGCAGATAGAATGCTGTCGAAGGCCTCTTTCTGAGAGCTGGGCTGCTCAGTTCTCATGTGGGTGCAATGTGTGTTCTGCCCTCAGTGGTGACTTTGTGCCGAAGGGATGGTTGGCATTTAAGTATCTATGATCAGGAGTGACTTTGCTGACATGCCCCTACTGGTGACAAACACAGACGTGTGGCTCAATACTGTAAAGTTCTAGGGACATTCCAGGTGGACGAGCCTTTGAGCTTATAGTCTTCCCAGGTTACTCCTATGAAGACTGACTCACAAATTAGAAGTCTGGGCTCTGCTTTCTATACCTTATAACTGGAAACATTTTTTGTGCCTCAGTGGAAACCGTTGCATCTAATGTGTCCAGATTTCAGGTGTGCTAACAGAAGGGTCTTCTGAGAAGAAACCCATTGCATACCTTCCAAGTACCTGAGAAGACCTGTTTGTACCCACATCCAGAGCCTTTCTTCCCTCCCTATTTAGCCAATAACACTGTGTTACATAGAGAGAAATTGAGCTGGGGAGGGGAGCAATAATGTACATAATGAGGATCATTCGGAAGGCAAGGGACAACAGAGCATTGTGCAGTCATCTCTGGCCTACTCAATAATGTTCACGTATGTGGGGAAATAAAACAAGAACCTTTCTGAGAATCTCAAAACGATCTTTTGGTCTGTGCTCTATACCTAGGCTTCTCTTCTGGTGCTTGGGGTTTGAAACTATTGAGCAAAATGTTTTTTTTCTTTTTGCAGTTCTGTCAAAGCTTCAGACTTTCTTTACTGGACCAGCATGCCTATTTTTTACATTGTGAACATATATAATTCATATACCCTGCAACTTATTTAATGCATAATTTATGCACGTTTGCTAGTTTTTATAAATGGATTTTGGAGCATGATTCCCTAAAGGTAAGTCAGTCATAAAACTAACCCTGGGCTAACTTTTCTCCGTACTCTTCTAATGTGGGGTCCCAAGTGTTATATTTAAGGTGATGCATGGGAAAAGGCAGTGTTTGAATAAAAGAAGAGCAGTGGGGAGGGAGAAGTGAAGGCTCATGCAATCTGTTGAAAGGTTCCCTAGAGATGGCTCAGGGATGATGTTACTTTCCTTCAGAGGACAAAACAGTTCTTACCGGTCTCACCTAGAACAAAGGTTTAGCATGTGTGTTCTTTTCAGGCACGAGCCCTGAAAGTCATTTGTTCCTCTGGGCAGTGATACAAATCTACCCCATGTGTATTATTAAGCAGAGAGGAATTGGGATAATGGACCAGGAATAACTGATTTGCTGGGAGGCAAGGGCCTGGTGCACATTTTACACAGAAAGGCAAATTGTTAAGTAGGCTGGCAGAGTCGCTGTAAGTGAGACTAAGATCACTGCCTTCGTGATTACAGTGTGGCATTCGTTTACAATTTTAGTGCACCATCTGTGACACCCAACTGGAGTCTTACATTTGCCTATCCCCCCACCCCATTTTCAATCTTAGCTAAAGCTTCCACAGTGTCTTTGTTGCCAAAAATCCACAAAATCTACAAACTGCTCACTCTGCAGTTCAGTCACCCCCACTTTTCTTTGCTCTTCTCTTCTCATTCAACACCTTAATGCAAGCATCTCTGTTGAATCACCAAAAAAAAACCCCATAAAAATTAAAAACCATCCTTTGCAAGATGAGATGGAAAGAGGATCTTGAAGCTCACTAATTTATAAAGAGCTTCTAAAAGGTTGGTGAGTCCCTAAGTGAAATGATAAGAGCTTATTTCAACACTAATATGATGGGTATGCTATTGCAGAGTTTAAATAACAGAAGCTGCCCAAATCACCAGTTTTCCATTTTCTTTGCAGTTTTTTTTTTAATCCTGGTAGCAGTGATAAAAATGATAAAAGATGCCCAGGATCAGGGAAATTTGAGCCCAGACCCAGTGGTATGTAATCAGTGAAATGATAGAAGCTTTCATAAACTTATTTCCTGGAATCTCAAGGAATTAGAAGAGTGTCTTTAGTTTAAAAGGAAGTCAACCAGGATATGGGGGTCATTATTATGAATAAAAATTATAGTGCAAATGGGTGAAAAATTTTAGGGAACTGTAAATGTGGAAGGAAGGTGGCTGGGATAGGTGTATAAGTTGCAGTGTACAATTAATTTTAATATCAAATTCCACCTTTAAGAGTGAAGATGATTATAGTATCCTGGTGTATCCATGGGAACACACCATTTGAGATGAGGAGGTGAGAGATGTATTTCTCCCAATATTAGATTTTTAATAGAAATGACTTAGATTGAGGATGTCCATCTAAGAATTCATAATTACTCTAATCCAAAATGACTACCCTAAGAAACACTGAAGCAGCTGATAATATTTTCATCTCACTGTCCAAAGTTTATGGTGTCAGTGATCTACCAGATGTCAATACTTGCAAAAGTATTCACAGAAGCAGCAGCCCTAAAGTCATGAGGGGTTACAGGCAAAGTGATACGAAACCTATAATCCATGGAAACTCTAATTTCCTATTCTATCTCTAGAATTTTCCTTTGGTTTGGAGTAAGTCTGGTATTCCTTAAAGTTACCATTTTAAATTGGGAATATATACCCCCCCCCTTTTTTTTTTGACAGAGTTGTGCTTTTCTTTAAATGAGAGAGATTGCTAGGGATATAAAGGTCTATTTTAGCCCTGAAGGCTGGCCTGCTTTTTGCTTTATGAGTATATTTATAGATATATAATTCATGTGTGTAGGGCTCAAACCCAGCAGAAGGGGCTCTCTGCCATGGATAAGACAGTGGATTAAAAATTCAATAGAACTCTTCTGAACTGTGAGAAGGTTGTAGGTGATGGTGAATGTCGTGGGTCATCCGTAAAAACAAGAAGAGCAGCAGGAAGTTTCCATGTGGCTCCAACCTCACCTCTCTGGAGCTATGTGAATCCAAAAAGTCACAAAAACAGTGAAACAAGGACATTAAAGAGCCAGACTATGGGACAGGACACTATGCTCCAATTCCTTGAGTTTCTTTTATGTATATTTAGGTTCTTTACCTCATCTCTTATTTGTATTTTTCTAGTTCTTTGCTGGGAAATCCACATGTAACAGGGAGAAATCACCCTTTTCCCACTAAAGGAGTTGTTTAATATCTTCGTTTAGTTTATTGGTGCCACAGAAGGGTGTACTTATAGCATATAAATACCCTAAAACTTGTAACCATAAATTTTTTCTCCATCCACTGTCAGAAAAAAAAAAAAGGCTTTTTTTTTTTCTGACAGACAAACATGACAAGTACCTGGGGAGAAGACACTGGGAAAAACTCAAGTGTTTCAAAGGGGGCTTACCTCACATTTTAATTAGATGAGAATCTTTAGATGAGACCTTTTGCTCCCCAAGTTTATCTGATTCTATAAGGCTGCAGATTCTGTTTTTCAACATATGCCCAGGTAAGATGAGCCAAAGCCCCTTGACATCATTTCCATTGTAAAATAAGGAATGTCAATTGGAGTTTTCCATGTGTTTATGAATCTGAGCTTTGCCTTTGAAGTCACCCAGACTCAAGTTAACTGCAGAGCTCTGCAGCCTACTAGCCATACGAGTGTGGTCAAATTGCTTAAATTCCCTGTAAAATGGGAATAACATCACAGCCTACTTCAACCACCAATGTGACTAATAATAATGCATGTTAAATATTTAACAGAACTGGTTGCTACTACAAAATGCTAGTTATTAGTATCATTTCTACTCATATTTTAGGCCTGTAGCAACTGAAACCATTGATCACTTCTTCTGACCATTTCTTTAAATATATAGTAGCCTCATGCAAAGTAGAAGTATGATAATA